CTTTCTTTTTCCTACTAAAAAACAATAGTGAGAATCAGTACAGTAACAATGAAACAGTAGCTACACAGGGTTGGTCTTTCTTAGCATTTTTCACTAAATAATTGAATTTCCCCTGTCAATCTTTGCATGTTGCATAATGATTCTATACAATCTTTATAATGAATGGACAGAAGGACACTCAACTTTCTTCACTGGATAAATAAATACATTGATTTTGAATATGCATCTCTCTCATCTATTGCTCATACCAATCCCTTAAATCCATGGACAATTAAAACAAAAAGATGATGCTATGATATCTCATAATAAACCCTCTGAATTCAGATCAGCAGTCTGGTCTTTATCAAAATAGAACTCTACAAGAATTTATGAATTACTTCAGCAGATCTGGAGAACAGCACAATGACCAGTAGATGGGAAGAATACAATCTGCACACTAATACTAAAGAAAGGCGTATCTAAACCATAATACAATATCTTTAATTTTTCATGCTAATAAAATACCACTTAGCAGTCATCTTAGTCCTTACAAGAGAATATAAAGAGTCTTCTAGCAGTGTAAACATTTTGTTTTTTTAAAAAAATCATAAACCTGGACTTCTAAACATGATGCTATATATCTGCACAGTCTGGCACTTGACAGGTATTTTTGATTATTTAATTCATATAATTATTTAACCAATTGAAGTGGCTGCAATTCACACATTGCAACTCTGGGTAGCTAACATGAAATTAAATCCAAATACAAAACCCAACAAAAATAAAAATAACAAAACCAAACAATTGATTTCAGCCCACAATTGTTCCATAATCACTGGTATTGTATAAAAGTGACGTTGCCCTAGCTGCTATAAAAATATTGAAAAAAATTAAATGGGAAGTTGGCATGCTGAAACAGAAGGTACTGTCTTCTGTCAGACTTTATTGCCAAGGATGTTGGTGAGATTTGCAGACGGTCCATAAAGAAACAAAGCGAGTCCCCAGTGCTTTATTGGTTGTACTTCTATCTGATTAAAAACAGTTGCTAAAATCCATCTTCAAGCTCTAAAAGTGACAGACCAACTCACAAAATTGCCTTTTTATCTATGAGTGCTTTATATCTGACTACAGTTTTTATAGCAGCCATTTTGGGAATAAACAGGTCCCCCTCATCCCCTAGCCTCCAAGCAGGTAATTGGTGAAAGTGTCCATGATCTGTCCTTGGATGTTCTATTATTCTCATCAGAACAAAAATTCAAGGCTCTTGCATAAGCTTTTGTTGATTTCAGCTTTTTTCTTCAGATGCATGAAGTGTTATTTTGAATTGAGAACAAATATACACACTTCCATAAGCTAGATTATAAAGACTGAAGTGTGTGTGTGTGTGTGGGGGGGAATGAAATCAATGATGTAGTGATTCTGGTAATAATCTTATTAACAATAACTGTTATTTATAAAAGTGATGCATGTCTTTGTTATAAACTGATAAATGTAGAAAACTGACAGGACACATAGAAAACTTGGCTGCTTTAGATCCATGATTTAGGTAAACAGATCAAATTGTTCCTTTATAAACCACTTATACCCAGGAGAAAACAAAGCAATGAACCGAAGTCACACAGAACAAATGTAGAAATGTCTCAGCTGCTGCTATAAGTCATTCCAGAAAGTCCAAAAATTACTATATAACTTCAAAATTTTTCAGTTTCATTTTCTTTCTCTTATAATATCTTCTGGGCAGATAATCATTCAGGAACATTGTCTCTCCAAAAATTTAATCTCAGAAAATCAGATAGATAAGTATTACAATAAGACTTACGGATTCAGTGCTGAAAAAAAAGGCTGTTTTTAAGTACTCAAGATAGCTAACAAAATTAGAAATGATATGTCAAAAGCTAAAAATCTAAATACGAAATCTTCTCAGGGGTTGCCACAAAGAAGAGGGAGACAAGCTATTCTCCAAAGGACCTGAGGGCAGGACAAGAAGCAATGGATGGTAACTAATCAAGGAGAGAAGCAACCTAGCACTAAGAAGGTATTTCCTAATAGAACAACTAACCAGTGGAAAAACTTGCCTCAAGAAGTTGTGAATTTTCCAACACTGGATGTTTTAAAGAAAATATTGGACAACCATTTGTCTGAAATGGTATAGGGTTTTCTGCCTGAGCAAGGGGTTGGACTAGAAGACCTCCAAGGTCCCTTCCACCTCTGTTATTTTATTCTATTCTATATGCAAGCATTAATATATTAAAGATCTGGAGAAGCAAACCTTTACTGATTTTCTAAATGCAAAGGCATGGGGTGGGGGGCAACAATGCATCTCCTGAGAGAATGTATTTGTAGCCTCGGAGAGAACAACAAGGCAAGTGGACGTGTATTCAGAAGGCCTGCAATTCTTAAAATATAAATAGTGTCAGGCACAACTAACCAGGAACAAGTGCTGAGTTCAAAGTACTAAGGATTTATTACATGCTACCTGCATACAAGAATCTGATCTACTAATGCATACAAGAATCTGATCTACTAATACAAGCCAAATTGGCACTAGATAAGGGTCAATGGAATTCACAGGCCGAAGGGTCTTGGGTCTCTTGTGAGAGTGCAGTGACTCCAAACTGATGATGTGTTCAATCCCACCCTCAGGCTAAGTCTGCTCACTTCCTACAGGCAGGTTTGTACCAGAAAAGATGTTCCCTTAGAACAGCCAGGCTTTAACTCATTTAGAGCTTATGATTAATACCAACGTCATGAATTTGTGGTTACTAAACACTTGGTTGCTAGTGCAGATCTTCCAATATAGTTTCCTGTAGTTTGCATCACTTAGCAACTTCCTGTAGTATTGCACATAACATGATTTCCCTGCCCTATTCTGCTATATTTCCATCTCAACAGAACTCCCTTTATTCTGTTTGGATTCTCCCTGGTCTATTTTGTGAACTTCTGGGTCCTGCTGTCATCTCATTGTCCTCAGAAGTGCTGAATGACTCATTTGCGCCTTCTAGGTTAATAGACTGGATCATCTGTCAAGAGTGCTTCTCAAGGCAACTTTAATCTATATGTTAACTTTAAAAATTGCCACAGCATCTAGGTTTTTAATTGCTTTCAGGATAGCAGAATATTAACACCTGAAGCTTCATCTGCTGTGCCCATCTGTGCTGATTTTCACTGCCAAGGAACATACTCTCCGGGAAGTGGTTTAATGTCACACCAAAGTGTCTTCTCTCTAAATGTAATCTGAGCTGTATGAAGTATGATATAACTTGAATGAATGAATGAATGAATGGAATTGTAGTTCAATACATCTGGAGAGCAACAATTTGGAGAAAGAGAATCCTTACTCAGATCCCGAAGACTCTTAAACCTCCTTTCTTTTACTTAAAGATTTCCAACCTAGTTGCACAGACAATATCATTGCTGGTAAAGTGGTCAATTATTTTAAAGCTCTTCGAAAGAAAACTGCAAGTTGATCTGAAAGGACTTTGTCACTCAGCTGCTTTGCTCTTGGATACAACTTACTGCACCACGAGGGAAAACAATATGAGGGACTTGCTTCCAAAGCAATATTGTACTCAATATCTGAGCCAGCACAAAAGCATATGTTTGTGGAACAGGAAATGCAATCCATGTCAAACAGTGTTGGGATTCAAAATTTTTTTTTTACTACCAGTTCTGTGGGCATGGCAGAGGAAGGGTACTGTAAAATCTCTAGTCAGAGGTCGTATTTTTCAGTTCTCCAAACTACTCAAAATTTCCACTACCGGTTCTCCAGAACTGGTCAGAACCTGCTGAATACCACCACTGATGTCAAAGCATTCTGCTTTCCCCCCTTTTCATTATTCCAGGCTAAAGAGTTGGTCCCATCTTTCCTTTTTGCAGCTTGCCTTTCTGATAATAGACATTCTTCCAGGGCTCTTTGGAATAAGATGAAAATGGTCCATCAGTTCATTCTATATTGATGGGCTGTTTTGATCATTTAGGCTGAAGACCAAGGTACAAAAGATTAAAAACTATGAGATAATAGCATTTTCTTCTCACTTGATACAGATTAGGCTGCAAATATAATTTATTTCAGTAGACACCAGTTCCCATGAAAGCATTATAATTACTGTTAACTCTTCCCCTAAGCTAAACAAACGAGAGATTAGCTTCAACGAGCCTTTCAGCACCAAAGCGTCGGACAGTTCCAATTTATCTCCATTTTCCCCGTTTACACATTGAACCATAAATCATTTGTTAGGCTGGGTTCCCATATGCCCCAATAAAACCTTAATCACGGTTAACCCTACTCAGGCACGTTATGTGGATATAGCCATCAGGGTTGCAACTAATATATATGATTATATATTGTGAAGAGCATGCATTGAAAAAAATAAAGACCCTAACTTCAGATCAGCCGCTGTTTGGGTCTAGAGTAACTATAACACAGAGGTCAGTCCTACTGACCCCCATAAGGAGGACTTTGAAATGGACTCGTGGCCCCCTCAAAACTAGAGTATATTCAGGCGTTCTCCTGGACCTTGATTCGGGGAAAATCCCCTTTTCTCACCCTATCTCAACTCGGGGGCCCGGATGTGCCTCTCATGCACTGTTCCTCCTTATGGAGGCGGACCTGCTCGCCTTTAAAGGAAAGGCGCCCCCACTCTAAGGAGGGCAACGCGAACTCGCCTGGAGAGAGCCGCGCTCCAGACAGAGGAAAAAGAGGAGCTGCGAGCCAGGCGACTTCTCCTGACGCTACACTCAGCAGAAGACAGAATAGCCCCGCGGACACCCAAAGCTTTCCCAAGAATCTTTCAGACAGCGGACTGGCAATGCCTCGCCTCTCCTCTCTTTCGTCCACCCCATTCCTTCGGAAGTAAAGGGGACGTTTGACTCCGATGAGACTTGTTTCCTTCTTGGAGACTTCGGGGAAAGAAAGATTGGTGGGGGCGGAGGAGAAGGCGCCCCCCGCCTCCCAAACTGTCCGCTCCTAGACCGAGGACTTGGAAGAAGGCCCTCGAAGAAGTCCCCGCTGCCAAGGAGCGATGCCACCGAAGACGACCGAGTCCACGTGGCTCCACGGGACGGTGGCTGGCAACGAGAGCGAGGCGGCTGCTCCGGGGACCTCGTCCCCGCAGCCTGTGGCGGTATTCGCCATACGCTGCGTGATCCCCTCGCTCTACCTGCTCATCATGGCCGTGGGCTTGCTGGGCAACTTCACGTTGCTGAAGATCTTCGCCGCCCGGAGCGCCGCCCGGAGCGTGCCCAACATCTTCATCTCCAGCCTGGCCGCCGGAGACCTGCTGCTGCTGCTCACCTGCGTCCCGGTCGACGCCTCCCGCTTCTTCCTCGAGGACTGGCTCTTCGGCGAGGTGGGCTGCAAGCTGCTGCCGGCCATTCAGCTGACCTCCGTGGGCGTTTCCGTCTTCACCCTCACCGCCCTCAGCGCCGACAGGTGAGTCCTGGAGCGACCAAGGAAAGTTCCCCCGCCAGGGGGAAAAACACTGCAAACTTTCTGGCCCACATGCCAGCCCTTGGCTGCCTTTCATGCCCTTAGGGAGATTCCCATTTTTAACAGAGTCCGCTATAATTGGCACGTCAATAAATTTAAATGAACGAATAACTGACTAAGGGAATGAAAAAAATGCTCCAGCAATCAGACTTGCTGCTCAAGCTTCTGCTTCACTAGATGTTTGGAAAGGCATCAGTCCCACCCCCTCCAACACAGGCAGACTGCCAAGCTGAGAAGGCTGAAAATGAATCCTGTCTGATTGGATTGCCAGGGGTCAGTCTGGCCCTTCAGGAATCTTTTTCTCATCCTGTGCTAACTTCACCCACAAGTAAATAAGGAGATCCATGCTCCTCTGAGGCTACATCTATTTTCTTTAATGATTTCAGCTGGAAGCAAATGAGTCCTGTAGATACACAGAAGTAGGCTTAGCATGTATTTTTATTTATTTGATTTGTCAATTGCTTACAAGATAATAGGTATAAGAATAAACATGAGTATGGATACAGGAAATAGGTATGAATAAATGGGGACAATAGGACAGGGACGGTAGGAATTACCCTAAGCATTACCCTAAGAAAGGTAACAAGGGAGGTTGGAAGAATTTGTTAAAAAAAAAGCCCATCTATCAGCTGTGATAGATGTATGTTTTTTTTAGATGCAATTTTCCCCTAAATGCTAATTCCAGGGAACAAGTAAGAGCATCCTTGGCTTTGTTTACACTTGAGCAATTTCCAGAGGCATCTCTTATAGTTGGCCACATTTGTAGACATAAATCTGAATAAAACAAATGATCAGTCTAATTCAGGAAAAAAAACTTTTGTTCTTCTTAGAAATATTTGTCTTGTTAAATGTATTAAACTGGGAGATAATTTGTCTATTCTGCTCCTAAGTAAACATAATGTAAGCTGAAATTAAGGAGAATAAATTAATTTAGACAATATTTATGGAACTGAAATAGCAAGCGGGAGAGAACAAAGAACCAAGCGAAGCATGATTAAAGATTTCCCATTTAGGGCTAATTGTTTTACTTTAATACAAAGTTGGAAAAATAGAGGAGAAAAGGGTCATGATTAACATCAAGATTAGAGAATTTTGACCAAAATCATTAGCAAATATATATATATATATTTCTTTCTTTTCCCCCTTATGGACAAACTCATATAGTGATGATAAAACGTGCTGACATTACTTGTTTCCTTACTGAAATTTGTCAATTTGAAGTAAAAAAAAAAAGGTAGCAATAGTTTTTATTCAGAGAATGTGTGAAGCCATTTGCATGAACTTCCTGAAACAGACAAGTTAATAGTCTATCTTGAAATGTCTATTGATAAATATTAACAGGATGTTGGAATTAAAAAAAGTTGCCATCATTGCTGGTTCTCTCTTCCCTCTCAGTTTTTTTCCCCATTGAAAAAGATTTAAACTGAGATTACAATCTCATTCCATGCTACATTTTCACATGAGACTAGCATAACCTCAAGGATAAATCAATCAACCACATCTTTATTTTGAGGCTACATACTTCGAAAGCTTCTAAGTTGTTAGAAAAGCACTGGAAGTTGTAACCAACTAAGCCCCAGGCTTTGAGACAGATGTAATATTGAGAACACATAGGTGCAAACTTGGACTTATTTCATAAATGCACATGTTTTTGCCAATGTGGAAAATAATGACAAGTTGAATGGCACTCAGTAAGTGGCATAGTAGCATTTATCTTGGGGAGAGTTGTTTGCAAAAACCAGGAGTGCTTTTTAATAATGTGATGTTTTGTTCTAGCACTCATTTCTATTTGTGAGAAGTGAAGATTGGTGTCATAATTACATCACAGGGTAAGCCAATGCAAGTATGCTGAAAAATAAGCCCAGTAAATTCCTAGTGTACAGATTTTTTTTATATAAAAGTCATCTCGTTCTCAGTCTTAGAATGGTCTGATCTTTGCCAAATTTACTATTTGCATGCATGTGCAACTGGATGTGCAACCTTTTCTAACAATGATTAATTATCAGCGATTACTATGCACATTGATATAGCTACGCAACAACAGATACCAGCATGCAAGTGGTTGCAGGCCACTTACTATCTGCTCTTGCAGGAATGTTTATTTTATCAGAAGAAAAGTGATAACATTTTAAGTTTTCCCTGTGATCCCACACCGCTCAAAATTTTTAAGGATTTTTAAGATGAATTCAAGAAACAAAACGTTCATTTAAGCTTGATTTTACATGTTTTTCATAAAAAATATTTTAGGTAAGGTAGAAAGCAAACTTCATGTAAAAGAGAGCAAACTGCATTCATCAGGAGTCAAGCCTAACTAGCTATGTAACAGATGGCAACTTCACAGGACCATGTCTGATTCTGCAGTATTTTTTTCAATAGGAGGATCCTCTTTGTTCTGTTACATTCTATAGCATCTAAAAAGAGATGGAACATTTCCCACAAAGGTTAGTACCCACGAAAATGAGACAGTAAATGGGATAGGAGAGAGTAGATTACTTCATAAAGTAAACAAAGTATAATGTAATTTTAAGTAAGTTTTATATAAAAGTTGACCAAACTAAATGTAGATTTTGGACCACATTTACTTGAGACATGATCTATGAATGCTACATGTCAATGAGGAACTGAAGGACATAAGAGTTCTATAAAGAAATCAAATGTCTGTTGAATCAAAAATGTTCAGTTCCATCATTGGACTTTCTCCAGATTAGCTACAGTTATGCATTCTTTATTCAAAGTCATAACATGTTGATACCACTTTCTGCAAAATTCCTTTCATTAAAAATGCTCTGAAAAAAACATGCTTTTGGAAATATTGATAATGGAAAGACAAAGGAAAGAAGCATCAGATTCTGGAAGGTTACACCAGAGATGATCTCATATAGCTTGAAAACTGCAGTTTTAGTAAACATTAAAGTCCTTCTGACAAAATCATTGGGAAGAGATTTGTTTGTTAAAAGCTTACCCAAGATAACTCTAGAAGAAGCTTACCAAGTGGGGTGGGCTGCCAAATACTCCATTTGATACCCAGCCAACTGAGTTTGTCCTCTTCTAGGAGATTCCATTCTGCTTTTGTGTTTTTCCAGATTTCAGCTAAATATCTATGGAGATTCTCAGTCATCCAGGTCATGCTTGCCCCAAAGGTGCTTTTTTTTTAGAGGCAACTGGACTTTCTGGTTTATCTGTGAAGACATTTTGCTTCTCATCCAAGAAGCTTCTTCAACTCTGACTGGATGGTGGGAAATGGAAGGATTTATACTGTCTGCAGACAAGAATGCAAGGTCATTTGCATTCTTGCAAATCCTGGTCATTTGCATTCTTGCTGTCTGCAAGGAGTATAAATCCTTCCATTCCCCATGATCCAGTCAGAGCTGAAGAAGCTTCTTGGATGAGAAGCAAAACATCTTCAAAGAAAAAGTCCAGTTGCCTCTTGAAAAAGCACCTTTGGGACAGATTTCAGCTAGCACTCCTTAAGTATTTAAGAATATATACTAAGGAATATAATAAGAAAGCAGACCTAGGACTAGGTTTAGATTTGCTCCTGAAAGGAACTGAGAAACATTAACAAATGTTTCTGCTTGTCACGCAACATTGTAGATGGTCCCAACTGTGCCTTGTTTGAGCCACATCATATTGTGCTAATGGGAGTCTTTCACTGACAAACACAGAGTGTCAGCACAGAAGTGGATCATGATATCAATTATGCAAGAAGTGCCTGACCCTGATTTTCAAATTCTTTTCTTCTGCCAGCAGGGAAATGACACATAATCAGAGGTGGTATTCAGCAGGTTCTGACCAGTTTGGGAGAACTTGTAGCAGAAATTTTGAGTAGTTCGGAGAACTGACAAATACCTGCTCTGACTGGCCCCGCCCCATCTATTCTCTGCCTCCTGAGTCTTAGCTGATTGGCTGGGTCTTCTTTTGTTGCCCTGCACAGGAGAACAGAGCTGGAAATCAGGTTAGAGGGGTGGGTTGGGAATGGGATTTTGCAGTAACCTTCCCCCAGGAGTGGGGAGGGAATGGAGATTTTACAGTATCCTTCCCCTACTGCACCCACCAAGCCACACCACGTCCATCAAGCCATGCCCACAGAACCGGTAGTACGTTTTTTTGAATCCCACCACTGCACATAATTGTGTGTACAGCCATCAGGTCAAGAATATGTCACTTTGGGTGGGCATATAAGAGGTGTGCAAAGCATTTTTCTTGTGTGTATGTGTGTGAAAGGCGGAGAGATTTAAATTTTGGTATGAAAAGGAACAACTTGTATGAGGCATCTCTTTCTGGCTGGTTGATGAGAACTGACCAGAAAGATCAAATTGGGATTGAATGTTGCAAGCTTCAAACAAGTAAATATGTCCATTTCTATTATATTTTGCTGTTTACAATCTTAGATCAGCTTATTCAAGCCCTGCATTGTTTTAGGTATGAGAGAAAGGATGCGACCAAAGGATGACTTTGGTAATGGAATGGCTGGTTGTTTAGAAATGACTTCAGTTTTTGAATGCTTTTTTTTTAAAGGTATGATTGATTGATTAGCAATCCTTGAATGCTCTTTCTTTCCACAGACATTAATCTCCCTTAGAGTTTACTCTCCTTTAGTCTAGGTGGTGCCCATTGTGGTTTTACAGTGATACCTCCTTGAATAGATTTTCTATCAATATTTCTAATATGCCAGAGAATAGGGTATCTCAGTCCTAGACACATATAATTCACATTATATGTTTTACAGAAGGTCTTTCAGTACCAGATACAAAAGGATTGGAAATGGAAATGAAACAGAAAAGTTGTTTCCACATATAATGATAAACTAAAACATGAAGGTAAAAAAAATATCCCCAGAAAGTATTCCTTCTAAAGACTGCGATATTTTGCATATTTAGTTACTTCTTGCATCTGTAAAATGAACCCAGATAAAATGTGTATGCCTGCAAAACGTACGCTGC